CCAGTAAGATTAATGCTTTCCTCAGGATATCTTGTTAGAAACACATAAAGTTTTCATATTGTTACTGAATAATCATTACAGATTTTTGTCTTTAGTGCAAAATGGATCAGTACATCAGAAAGACGGATTAAATGATGATGATATTGAACCTTACTTGAGTCCTCAGGCCAGACCGGTGAGTGCTAATAAATGTATTTAATTGTTTAATAATGGTGCATGATGTCCCTTCATTAGTCCCTTTTCTACTTTCATTTAGCTTTCAATATGTTTCTCTGGTTTATCAGAGTACATTCAGCTAATTAGCTGACAGGATTGTTACACTTGCCTTATAGCTGGTCACATGCAACTTATCTGTAAAAATATAGTATACTATGGTGGAAGCACTTGGTAACAGTTGGTTGAATTTAGTTTGAATGTGATTACTGCTTTGGAAAGTGACTGTTATTTCCCATATTTAATAAGTCTCTCCTCTCCCAATAGAACTCTTCTCAAGAGAGTTGCTTGTATACTGTTTTGAATTTTCTATAGGAAGAATGGGCTGTTTATTATAAATATATATATTGGCTTTGTGGTGGTGGTTAACTACTGCCAGGTCGACTTAGACATGGTGACCCAATGAATGAGAAACCTCCAAATCATCCTATCATATTCGCTAAAAAACAAACACTATAATTTCCACTAGGATGAAGAAAGACTACAATGATTAGGACAGGGGTAGGCAACCTTTCCCCTTTAAGGGCTGAGAGACTTCAGCTCCCAGAATCCCAGGAGCTGTTGGCCAACATGGGACTATTGGCCAACATGGCTGAGGCTTCTGGGAACTGAAGTCCCTCGGCCCTTAAAGGGGAAAGGTTGCCTACCCCTGGATTAGGATGTCTTCTAAAGAAAAAGTTCCCATTGAGCTTATTTGTGCTCACTGCTTAGTATTTATACATAGAATTGTGGTCTAGCTACTAAATAGCAGTATCTCAAATCTGTTTTTTTCAGAAATAAATGTTGTTGTTGTTGTTGTTGTTGTGTGCCTTGAAATCTTTTCTGACTTGTGGCAACCCTAAGGCGAACTTATCATGAGGTTTTCTTACCAAGATTTCTTCAGAGGAGGTTTGCCATTGCTTTCCCTTGAGGCTGAGAAGATGTGACCTGCCCAAGATCACCCAGTGGATTTCATGGCTGAACTGGGAAACAAACCTTGGTCTCTAGAGTCATAGTCCAACACTCAAACCACTATGCCACACTGGCTCTCATCATAAACAAACAAACAAACATTACTAACTTCTTTAAGCCTGACATTACATTCAAATATATACAGTTGCAGTTCAAATCAAAGTACTTTGCTCTAACTAGTTACAGTCTTAACCCACTTCCAATCATAGCTTTTTTTTTCTTGTAGGAGATTTCTTTTATCCATCATAAAACAATGATTTAGTGCTGGTAGACTGCATATAGAACATATTCTTATATGAAAACAGTAAACAGTGTTTTAAGCTAATTTAGGGTGGAAGAGGAATGCTTAAAAGATTCAGGATTTCTGATTTGAAGATTCATATCATCCTTAAACTTCAATATCACTTTAATTCTGGATGCTGAAAAAGCCGTGGCAAATACCTTTTCCTTTTTTTACAAGATTTCAAACTCACTGGAACCTGCTGGGAGAGAACTTGATTGTTATGGAGTAATGTCCAATATATATTGTTGCATGCCATGGTGGGTTATAGTACACACTGGCATGATCCTGTTAGCTTTGTGGAACTATGGGCTGGAACAGACGGCCCTTTAAAGTTGCCATCTGGTGGAATGCGGCTTTTATATGCTACACACTTCGAAGCCACCCTGAAGCTGCCTGGAAGTTGAGTGGCCGCCCAGACGTGGGCGGCTTCAAGACGCTCCAGAGGTGTGGCATTTATATGCCACTAGGGCATCTAAAAGCTGACTTTGGCGGGGCCGGGAAAGGTGGCTTTTTTCCAGTCCAAAAAGGAGTGGATCTCCTTTTTGGGCTAGCTTCAAGGTGGTTTGGAGCTGTGGCATGTGGTTGCTGTGGCCCCAATCTGTCTTCTGTGTGGGCGGCTTCAAGACACCCCTTCATGCCGGTCTGTTCCCAGCCTAAGTCGGAATGTAGGGTGAATAGGACCTGCTTAGGGTATCTGTGTATCTTGAATTGCTCCCAGTGGATCACACAGGTATATGTCCTAAAGCTTATTGTAATGTGTTCCAAGCCGCTGATTTTCATCAGATTTGTTGCAGTTTCAGAGCAGTCATGAAGAGCAGGTTCATTGTATTGTGAAGTCAGGCTTCAGATAAATGAAACCACATGGGATGGTTGTCATATTTGAATCCTGAAGAAAGGCTAGCAAATTCTCTTCATTGTTTGGCTTCATAACATTTTTTTAATGCTACTGGAGCTCCAGCAAAATCAAGAGATCTAAGGATGCTCCATTCATTTAAACCTGAAGGAACTCAGTGTACACCATGCTCCATTTGTGCTGTATGTTCCTATTTCCCTGACACTTATGGTTTCACCTCCAGTAAACTTATCCTATTCCCCACTTATCCTGGATATCAAGTAAATTGACTACAGGACTTCAGTTGGATGAAATGGAAAGAGCTGGATGTTGGCAGCACACCTAGGGAATCTCTTCACTTGATTTTGCTTCGTGGCTTTGTGTATATACATGTTAACCAGAAGAAGGGATGGGGATCCAGTCATTGCTTTAACAAAAGTTTATAATGAGAACAAGGGACAGGTTGGTCATAAGACCTCCTTTAGAAGTGCAGTGGTTATTAACCATTTTGTGTCATATACCTTGTTGAGAATCTTATGAGCAATATGGACTTCTCTCCAGAATAGTACACATAAAAACATTTTTGAAGTAACAGGAAAGAAATTTTAATACCCTCATATTTTTGTACCCAGTTCAAGGACCTCCCAAAGTGGATGTGGGCAACTGTGGGAGGTTAGGGCCCCCCAGTAGTGCTCTGGAAGGTCTTGAGGGGAGGCTGTACTCTCCCACACCAGATAGGGTAAAAATTAAAAAATGTTTTGCCCCCAAATGCTCACCCCTGTGTCCTTTACATAGTGTGTGGACACTTTTGCCATATTTTTAGACCCAGGAGAGGGTGTTTAAAAAACACACACTTCTGGTTTGTTTCTTGTTTTCAAAAGGGCAATTTCAGGGCCTAAAATGGCCTGGAGGCTCCAGAATGGGGCCAAAACACCCACACAGGGCACAAGGGGGGGGAGATCTTTTAACTTGGGGCCAGAAAAATGGCCATGGAGGTGGAATGTGGCCCATGGGCTGCACTTTGCCAACTCCATTCTGAAGCCTCTCTACCCTCCCCTAGAGATCTGTGAACCACAGCTTAAGAAGCCAGTGAATTAGTGAAACACTTACTGTAACTAGCTTTGTAAATGTCTGACATAGTTTAATGTTGTGATAACAAACCATGTGAACATTTTTTAAGAAAGAAAGATCCATTTGGATTATAATTGCTTAAAGAAAACATTAATGCAGACTCTAAAGTCCATTTTATGCTATATCTGATTGAAGCTTAAGAGTGGCAAAGATTCAGGAAAGAAAGATTATCAATTTTGAAGTCTGCTTGATCCAGGGTGACTGACAATTTTTGGCTGTCATGTGTGTATGTATGTGCCTTCAAGTTGCCTGACAATTTACGATGATCTTATGAATTTTATAGTGTTTTCTTAAGCAAGGAATACACAGAGGTGGTTTTGGCAGTTCCTTCCTCTGAAATAAATCTTACATCTCCTGGATTTATTGGTGGTCCCCCTATGCAAGTCCTAACCAAGGCTGGCCCTGCTTAGATCAGACAGGATTTTGTGCCTTTAGGGTATTTAGGCCCTTATCCAGCTTTAAAGCCTGAACAATGTTGATTTTTTGCTCTGTGATCTTGTCTTCAGTCTCATCTTTGGGGAATTTTTTTGACAGGCATCACCCAGTTTCTTGTCTGCTTGACACATGAAAAGATGTACATATGGTTCCTTTTTGTAACGACTCAGATAATCATGCACTTCAAAATACTAAGAAAAAATGCACAAATCCAAGACTGTGCCTCTAAATGGGGATGAGAATGTAGTCCACAGTGTCTCTTGCCCACCAGACCCTCTGGCACCACGGAGGCCCCACACTAGTCAAAATTGGGGTGAGTGAGATTATCCAAGATTGAACACATCAGAAATACTCCTCAGCCTCCATCAAATGAAGAAAATTGGCCCAACTTGGAAACCAAACAGTATTCCAGTTTTGTTTTGGTCTGCTTTTCAAAACATGGACAAAAATTAGCCTATACATCCTCCACACTTGTCCACCCTTACTTTAAATGTTAATTCCATAATCTACTGTTATGCCTATAAGAAGAGATGCTCTGTCCAATTAATCTAATTTTAATAGGATTGAAGTAATTCACTCTTTGAGTATAGGTAACCCAAGTGATTAACTAGGCCTTTATATTGATAAGGAAACATTGCTGTATCATAACCTGTAGTTTCAACAGTAAAAGATTAGCATATCCAGTACTGTCTTTGTACAGTCATAAATGTCTTCATTTTCTTTAGTGGGTAAATCAAGGGGGTAGATACTGGTTACATCATTGGTGAGGATAACTAGTAGTGAAGTAGTCAAAATCTTCTTGAAGTTTGAATATTTTGGCCAGATCATTGGTAATAGCTCTTAAGTTTTCTGGAATATTTTATTCTACCCCTGCCTCTTAGAGTTCTGGAATAATTTTTATTCTATAGACAAACCATCCACATTGGCCCATATCCATAGTGAGTTAGAGATAGAATGACATTTTGCTTCTTACCATCTGCATAGTTCCTCAGTCTGTGTAGGTGGTGGTGGACTCTATTTTAATTAATTTTAATTAAAATTTAAATTTTCAGGGTCTCTGTGTACAGTAGTATGTTCAATTATGTTAATTTCTCTCTTGCATTTAAAAAAAGTCTTCTGACGTGGTTAAGAGAACTGTTTACATGTTTAAGGCAGTTGTCTCTTTTGCCAGGAAAAATGGAATGAAGTAGAAAGAGAGGAAGACTACACGCTAGATGCATGGACTTTATTAAGGAGGTCATGGGTATGAATCTGCAAGAACTAAGAAGAATAGTGGCGGATAGGGAGTCTTGGAGATGTCTCAGCCACAGGGTCATCATGAGTAGAGATCAACTTGAGGGTAGTTAACAACAGCAAAACCCTTTGGAGAGCTACTTGGTTCTTGAACTATTTTTCAAATTTATTTCCTAGAGGGAAAACATATGCAAGTTAAAGATTTTGGAATGGGTTGTTAGTGTGATGCCATCTAGGCTGTTGATAAATAAACTAGACTTGCAGGTCATAGCAGGGATGCACAAGTTTGTCCTTTGTGAGAAGTTTGCGTGATTGAGTTAGCTGCCGTTAGTCTAAGTCAGGGGTAGGCAACCTTTCCCCTTTAAGGGCCGAGGGACTTCAGCTCCCAGAATCCCAGGAGCTATTGGCCAACATGGGACTATTGGCCAACCTGGCTGAGGCTTCTGGGAGCTGAAGTCCCTTGGCCCTTAAAGGGGAAAGTTTGCCTACCCCTGGTCTAAGTAGTTTCTCATTTCCTTTCTTTTTCTGTATCAGTTCAGTCACTTGAAAAGCCCAGAGCATACAGTGGTAGAGAATTTGTATGAGTGCTGTGGAAAACATCAGTCATGCTTCTCGCCTTTTGAGAGTGATAATTTTAAAGAGGGATGGAATAATACCATAGTTAGTTGTAGTAACTATATTCATGTTGAATCTAGTTCTGAAGTGTAATAGGAATGAGCAAACTCTTGCATCGTCTTTAAACAGAGATTAACAGGGAAATGAATTGCAGCAGTCCTAAACTCCCTGTAATATGTTTTCTGGCCTAAGTGAATACAATTGTTCCTCCTGATTTGCAGGGGGTCCATTCTGCCCCCCCCCCCGGCGAATCCATAAAAATGCAAATATTCAAGTCCCCCTTGGTTACAGTGGCAGTGCGCTCACCATTTTGTCCCTCCCCGCTTGCCGTCCACAAAGGAGCGAGACTCAGGACTCTAAGTCTGCAAACGGGGAGGGACGAGTGTACTTAAAGGACTGTTTGCTGGACGAGCCAAAACATTGAATTTGATTTTTTAAAAATAATAACAGCGGTTACAGTACAGTTAAAAAGAGTGATTCCCAAACTTTATTCCTCAGGTGTTTTGGAATTCAACCCCGAGAAGCCCCAGCCAACTTGGCCAACAG